TTTGCCAAATAAGTGGCATACAAATTTTATAGCATTACTATATACATACATATGTAAGCAAAATCACCGATTTATTTTATAAAATTTAGCTTAGGGAAAAACAATTTAATTGAATCATCTGCCTATCTTCAGAACTCGAAGACTTGTCAAGTCAAACGGCTCTCTTTCACTTTTAGTACAAAACAAACAAATTATAAAATGGTCAAAATCAGTAGCTCATAATATTTGTACGTATAGTAAAAGAAAAACCCCAAAATATTTGTTAGCAGTCATTTATCTGATTTGGTTTTTATGCACATTTTTGTACATATTTGTGTGTATTTTTCAGACTTACAGCAACTGTGGAGCCATTTTTTCCAACACCACCGGCCACAACGACGGAAAATACATAGGTTAAGGAGATTACACCACACACAATGGTCGTTATAGCAGGACCATACCAAAGCTCAATATTGCCAATGCCAATCTGTGTTTGTATATTGGATACGATTGTGTGTATGTGTTAAATATTTGTTGGTTTTTAGTAGATTAGGCATTTTGTATTGTTTTGTTTTGTGGCGCAGTGGCACACATTTGAATGCAACATAAAAGTAAAAGGTATTGAGACAATTACAATGTGGTTTGGAATTATTACCTTTAAGCTATTTATGGGAACAAGAGCTTTTCTTTAAACTCTAGCTAATACAAAGTTAATATTAATGTATGTATTGCAGTCTCATTTAATTTCGTTAAAGTTTGTGAAATGAATTTGTCTTTTTTTGTTTGCAACCCAATGATACTAAACTTAATAAATCGAACCAAAGAGCTTACAACGCAAAACAACAAATAAACATTCTATCTTAACGTCTCAAACATATTAGGTACTTATATAATAAGCATTTAGTAAACTTAATGCATTGTGAACTTAAGCCAAGCTATTGATGCTATTTGCATTTATCTTATTAGAACATAAGTAAATGACGAAATAATTATAATAATTGAAAAATTACACTTGCAATAATATAAAAGGCGTTTCTATAGTCTAAAATAGGCAATTAAAATTTAAAATATAACTTCTGAAAATCTCAATTTAAAACGAAATCAATATTATAAGGGGATTATTTATATAAAGATGGAAATATGAGCAACATGGCAATCCACCCAGATGGCTTACCTTCGTCAGCCAAATCTCGGGCCCCAGCACGGCCGAAACCAAATGTATAGCAATGATGGAGAATTGAGCCTCAGTTACATCGATGCGGCCGAAGCGCATCGTTCCAGACACATACGTCTGCCAGTGTGCGCAATAAAACAACGCAATGGCACAAAAGCACTGAAAATAACACATATCGAATTAAAAAATCCATTAAGTAATTCAAGTTAAGCGACTTACCTGAAAGAATAGCCAGTTTGGATAGTGACCCAGTTGACAGGATATGCACGCCGAAAGCGCCACAAATATAGTTGATATGGAATCACAGCCATGATCAAACAGTTCGCCAAGCGGCGATGACGTGTTGGTACGTCGCGCCTGCTTGCCATCAATCGAGTCTAGACTTTGATAGACGAACAGACCCAGAGCACAGAGGAAGCAGGTCCAACGTGGCGGTGGCTCGACCCCATTTGGACTATAGCTGTAAGAAAAAATATATTTGTAGGTCATATGCACATAGGTATAACGCTCAAAAAATGATTTCAATACGGTTTATTGAAGTAAGCATAACTTTTTTTTTCTAGCTATTTTTGAAGGGCACATTAAGCGCGATTCCTAGAAAATCTAAAGTGCACTGTCTATTTTAAAAGACGCTTAATTTTTAACTTCTAAACAAGAAAAGAATAGCGGGTTTGACATAGACAAGCTAATATTAAGAGAAGCTCTGAAGCAATCAGAAAACTTTTATAGGCTATTTACAAGTCAAATGCAATTGGTCGCAGATCATTCAAAAGCAGTTGAGTCTGAAATAGGGTCGAAGGTGTTGCTAACCAAATAATACGAGGGCTGATCGACAGATCAACTAAGGCACCGCCTTCTTGGAAATTGTGTTATTTTAGGCGGCAAAACAAAAAAAGCTGATAGCCAAAGCAAAACTTTAAGTTTTTTTGAATGGTCAAATGGTATGTCAACATTGCTGAATTCTCAAAAATTGTAAGTTATATTTTAATTGACATTTTACAGCTGCCTTTGCGATTTTTCAATGCAACTTTTAATGTATACACTTTATAAGTCGCATTTACTACACATACTAAAAACATTAGCAACGACTAAATACTGTAGATTGTCATTGTGAATGTATAGATAAAGAACAACTATAGAGAGAGTTTGGTTTTTATTAAGACTTGTTTGATTGTGAATAATAACATTATAATGAATTTTTGAATGTCCAATGTTGGTTGGAATGGGATAGTTAAAAAATAATAAGACTGAAATTCTTAGTCACAAACCAATTTTATAGATTCTCTTTAAAAAGAAATAAAGTTAAAAATTTAATTTTGGGAATATACTTTATAAAAATATAAAGATTGACAAAAATAGGGCTGGGTAGTTTATTTGCAAAATGGGAATCAATTAAAAATGCAAATTTTTATTTAATTCAATCAAAGCACTCATCAATTGCATAAGCAAGAATAATGAAAATATTGTACTTGAAAATAATTTACTCGGGGGTTAATTCAATTGAACTTTTGTGCACATGCGAAGCCAAAAAGTCAGGCAATATCTAAAGCAAGCAGACGGATAGTATTCAACAACAACTAGTCAATGATAAGTACTCCATACTTATTTAATTTGTAATGAACCACCTGATTTATTGAATTCAACGCAGTAAAAAACAAGATATATTAAAAGTAAATGAGCTGCGACCTCGACGATCCGTTGATATCTTATCAGAGTCGAAATTTCGAATGGAACTAACCATGCAAGTTACGGCATAATAAGGTAAAAGCCACGCATTAGGGGAAACGAGTCATCTGTATTTCAGATGATTGTACTTAATGCTAAACTTCCAAATTGAATGTAGAATTGCATACATACTACATATATTATACCACTAACCATATAACATGATTACATGTTCAATGCTTAGTAATCGATTGATTATATGCATGCATAACAAGAAAATTTGTCCTTTGAGTGTATCCACAGCCATCTCATGGACGACAAAAAATTGATTATAATAATCAGACTAAGGGGGATCATTAAGGCACAACTGTATAATACATCTTTAAAACTATTGAATGTATGAAATTCCGTCTATAAACATGTTTGTAGAAATATTTACGATAACGAACGCAACGAAACATATGTGAAAATATGATAGAAAAGAAAAGAAAAGGTTATTTTACTCAGTTGATTGTAAGATTCGTACGAACAAACATACTTACATACACACTTATGCACTTGTACATAATTGATAGAAAGCTTAATAAAAATAATAAGCACTTACCAAATTAATATCAGCGTTGTCACAATGTTGAGTATTAGACCGACAATTGTTATCAGATTAGGTGCCAGCCAAAGTGGCGTTTGGGAGACCAACCAATTCCACCAGGGCTGTAGCAAAGGATCCAGCAGGCTTGCGCTGAAGCACGAGTATTTGTGTTCGCTTAGCTTGCGCAGTTGCTGGGGGCTGAGAATGCGCTGTTCCTTATAGGCAAGTATCGGCATTTTGTTAAGCAGGTGGCAAAGGTGAAACCAACAATTTTGTTTGACTGTGTGACAAGGCGCGTAAATTATCGAAAGAGCATTTGCACACACACACACACTCACACACACACCTGCTTGTTACTTGCAATTTTCACTCGCTTGCATATATGTACTACGTCTGTCTATGAAGCGATTGTGTGTGTGTGTGCCGTGTGTCAAAATTTTTCTTGATAAGTCACATATAACACTCAATCTCAAAGGCTTGACAATGGTCTTCTTTTACACAATACACCGGAATAACTCAGCTTTTTTAATTTCAAAGATTTTTGTATTTTCGTACGTGTTCTTTTTGTTCTCTCTCTCTCTCTATATATATATATATATAGTAAATTATTTTAACTGTCGTCCGCGTAAGAACTCGCCTGACATGCTTTCCGTCGTCGCTACGAGTGCAATGTGACCGTACATCTATACAGAAAATATACTATATTTTCCAAAAAAATACCAAGTAAAATTTATTTGATTATTATGAATTTTATGACACAAACTAAAAAAATTTGATTACTTAAGAAAAAGTGGTTTTGTGTTAAAAATGCAAAATATCGTTTCCGAATTTATTGTTTTTGCTATGCTTCCATCTTTTATCTTTCCATGATATTCTCAGTAACTTTCTATACATTACATTTTAGTTGGCAATACTAAATCTCCGGTTATTTTCGGATACAAAAATAAATATTAGGTTAAGAGGTTTTTTCATACAGTTTTCTTTCGTAATCTTTTAATTTCTAATCACAAAAAATAAATTCTCAACTAGGTCTGCTCTTTATACCCTTGTAGATGGAATGTGCAACGCATAAAAGAAGACGTCTCCGAACCAATAGGTATTTATATTCCTGACCAGCATCAACTGCCGAGTCGATCTACCCATGTCCGCCTGTTTGCACGTCAACAAGTCTCTGCTTTAAAGCTATCATCGGTCGCAAAGTACTAGGTTCAAGTATAAACTTTTTTTTCAAAAGATATTTCGATCAAATTTAAATTCAAACAAATGAAAACGCAAATCAGCTTTTAATTAAATAGATCAGTGCGCACACTAATTATTTCCACAAATATATATATGTATACTTATGAATTTGTAATAGATTTTTAAATCTAACTAATTGAATAATCCGATTCTAACCATTTCACATTTGCCACGCTTAGTTATGTTTACACTAGGCAAAATATTTATCATATAAGCCAGCGGCCGATGGAACTGTGCATGCATAATTATAGCTATTAAATAAATTTTGACAAATTTTTATGAGGCATCTTCGTTTTTCGTTTAATTTTCGTGTATGTTAGGAAATACATATAAAAATATTGTTTTTCGGTGTAATTACTGATATTGGCAACTTCGTATTTATTGTAATGCATAATGTACGTAATGTTAGAAGTGTGCAACTACTTGTCGGTGAATTATTATGACAACAAAAGGCGCTTATGCAAAACAAAAATTAATATATAATAGTATGTTTTCATTTAAAACGCAATGTATATCAATAGCAAATAAGTAATATTTTTTCGAAAGGTTGCAAAAGTTTATAAAATGCCAGCAACTGAATGTCAATCACACAAAAATCTTATATGAGAAAACAAATTTTACATAATTTGATTATAGGCGCATCGTACAATTGAAACTCAGTATAAATGTATGCTTAACATCGCATCGACTGTTAAATATATATATTTATATATTACATATATGTAAATATATTATACTTGACTGTTAATTAGGATAATAATTTTATTTGTCTTCGCTTTGAGACATTTAGGCAAAAGTTGTTGTCATAGTTTTATTATTAAATATTTTTGTCGAATAAGCGGTAGTTTGTGTAGAGTTGTTATTGGTAATTTTTTTTATAATATAGTTAATTATCATAAAATTTTCTCTTTCTCACACACATACACGCACACAAAATAAATAGCACATTTAGAGTGGTGTACGTGGAAAGCTACATGTGATTGGACTTAAATAAAAATATATATATATATATATATATTTGTATATATATCAAAAATTGTTACATTAATAATATAGTGCGATGTATAATATATTCACCATACAAGAGGATTTAGTTGTCAGTTGAATTTTTCTTTTCTTGTAATATTGCATTAATTTAGAATATGGCTGCAAACTGCTTGTCAATGACGTAAAAAATGCATTCGGCTGTTATGCTTACAGTTTATACAATATGTTTCTATATGCAATGCTCATGTCGTATTATTGAACAGTACATATAATAATATGTATTTAAAATTGGTATTTCATAGTATAGGGTGTGAATTATGTTTTATGCTTATGTATGTGTGTGTTGGGGTGAACAATATTATGAATGATATGGCGTCACATAGGTTGCTGGAAAAATGCCTTTCCTATTGCCGATCTCGCCGTTCCACCAATTCTCATCAGAACGATCTGTAACGGTGATGACATCTCCGCGTCTAAAGTCCAATTCACCAGATTCCTGTGGCACAAAATCGTATAGCGCCTGAACGAGCATCTGCAAAGGAACAGCATATTTCGAGATTTGTATTTGTATAAAAACATCTGTTGCATGGCCTTCGTTCAATATAATATACCTCTTCAGGTATCATATCACGTAATTTTACGTCCTGTGATCGCGATACGCTCGCCGTTCGATGATATTCGACCAATTCGTTGAGGGAATTGAACTTGACAACCCAGAGAAAAAATTTGCTCTGTGCGTCCCGTAGTACTTTAAAATGCTGGACCCCATCAGGACATCTGAAAAACCATACAAGAATATTATAGTAATCATTGAGTGATCAATTAACGTTACATACTTGACGGATAAGGAGAAATCGCCGGGACTAGATTCGCTGATGCGTATCAAAAAGGCGCCTTCATGTTTATTTGACAGCAGCTTCTCCGCATCGGCACGTGTTATGCGTCCATAGTACCAGCTTGAATATATTATTAGATTATTACAACGATACTTTAAAATGTGCAGATTAATTTTCATTGTTACTCACTCGTGATTTTTCATTTCTATATAATTACTGGGTATAAGCCCTTCTTTCCCATCCAACTCGGCGCGGTACCAATTTGAGTCGTCCTCCATATTTAATATCTGCAAATAAAACATGCTTAATTATGGTTTGCAATATAAAAACATTGGGAAAAGTGTTGAATTAAAGGGCGTAAAGCTTTTTAAAAATGGGATGATTACCGTCTCAACAGCGAACTGTGAGTCATATTCCGGAGGCAATGCTAATAAATGAGTAATAGTATTCGTTTACTAATGCATGTAGACTCCGTCGTGTTTCATCTGTTTACCTTCTTCGAACTTTTCTAGCTTAGGTAGTTCATGCAAATATCTAAGCCATGTCAAAAATACAACCTAATCTTTAGCATAAAAAGCACATCTAGAGACGGAAAACTGGCTAAATATAAAATGGCTTTAATTTTTGTTATGTGTGTAATTTACAGATACGCCGGATTCTTTATGGTAAAATGCTAAAAAGATATAAACTCAAATAGGATTCTAAGTTTTCCGTTTATTTTGAGTATATAAAATTTGTGTTTCGTATTGTCACTTTTTTGAGATTATAAAAACTAAATACGTATGCGTTCTGCGGTCAATGGTGTTGTTTTGATTAAATATGTTCAGTTAGCTAGTTGGCAGCAGCAATATTTTCATATGCTCAATCATTGGCGAATTCGCTTTTTCTCAAACAAGCGAAGTATAGTTTGGTTTATTTTTAGGTATTTGTTTTATTTATTAAAACATCACCCAAATTTGTTTCAGAGTATAAACTTGCTTCATGACTGCAGCATTATACGTCATGTTCCTTGGAAAAGATAGTTTTGGACAATGTTTAATTTTCCAAATATTTGTCTCTTTCAAAGAAAATACATAATAATTGATGCCAGATCGATGGTTTATGTATAAACCATATTTGATCATTTTGTGTTATTTACGTTTCCACGCATCATTTTACTAGCTTATTAAAACGTGGAGAAGTGATCTTGGTATCATTGAAGCTTCAATCGAGTTGCCAGCATATTGAAATTACTGATAAGGTGCTCGCTTAGTTGTTTAATCTGGATTGAGTGAAACTGATAAGCCTTTGATAACCAGAAACGGCAGCTGTTTGATAAAGCGTAGTCCAAGTCATTGACATCATCAATCAACATGAACAACCCAAAAGCGACCCTACAAGACTAAAATAAAACACTGGCACGCTTGGTGACTAACCTACGACAAGAGCGGATAGACAGTAAACAATAACAACATGAACGCAGCAGTCCCGCAGCAGCAGCTTACACCGCCTGAAAACTAACTAAAAACCTGAAATTTCGCCTGCCAAAACAAAGAGAACCAATTGCTTAAAGGGGCCCCAGGCATGCCAAGCGCACACCAAGACAATAGTGCAATGGGAAGAAAACCAGATTCTTCATCATAATTTGGGGTCTGGGGCTCTGTCTCCAGCTGAGACGAATATAAGAGTATATACACAAAAAAAAAGAAAAGCGTTTTTGCAGATAATCGCCAATTGTTCTGTGCTCCTTTTGCTCTTCAAAGCTTAACATCACAAACCGACCGGATCTAACAATTCTACTTTACAAATGTGGATAATCAAATATGTATTATTTATTCTAATTTACATTCAATGTATGTTTATTGTTCCCATAGGGTTTCGCACGGATTCAATAGCTGACTAACAACAAAGTTTGTATAAGGAGCGCGGCCGATCCGAAATATAGCTAAGTTAACACATATTGTTGCAAGTATTCTCTGCTGTTACACATACATATGCATTTGCTCTTGCGAGATGCGCTTTTGATCCACTTGCAAACACTCTGGAGTCCTTTGCAACTTATACATCAGACTCTGGAAAGGAATTTGGGTTAACATGGGAACCGACCGCAACTCAGGCAACAAATAATGCAAGCACATATGAATCAAGTTGTATGAAAAAAGTATAAAATGAACTCGACGGCAATAATTGCAGTATATGCTGACAGTCATCTATTAGACTGTAGACCTGTAAGCTGTTACAGAGATGTACAAAATGTAAATCATAGTGAATTTGTTGTACTTTTTCTTACCTTTAGAATTTGAGTTTTACGGAAACTAAGTTCATCATCGGCAGTAGCAGAGAAATCATGTTTGGCAATTGCTTCCATTTTGTAGAGGGTGGTTTGTTTTTAAATTGTTGCGCTTCTAAGTACAATTTGTTTAACTTTTAACTTGAACTTTTAGTTGATTTACTTTTCTTAATCAGCCTTGTTGCTTACACATACATACATATATATATATACTCCCATGCATATATGCAATTGTTGTTGGGTGCTTACTCTCTTAGCTATTTTTATGAAAAATGCTATGATTTACTCGTTTATATTCACATCTGCATTTAAAATCAACACAACGAAACTTATTATATAAACAATAACTCATATATTCGATTGCACGTCTCCAAATTAGTACAATATTTTCAAAGCCATAGACAGCGAGAAAAGTGATTAAAAATACACCGACGACGATGACGGAGCCGCAGCCAGGCCAGCAACAGAGAAACAAACACGAAGTGATAGCGGCACTCGCGACGAAACAACTGAGAATGACGGGCATATACATATGTATTCGTGTGTGAGAAAGATAGAAAGAAAACGAGAGGAATTGAGCTTGCATAGCGTTGCCAGCAGCGTGTACTTTACGGAATACCAATAACACCGCCTTGTTAAATATAAATGATAAGCTAATGATCTACATATATATCGCACAATTTATAAATAATCTTGTGATCATCAGTCGTCAGTGGCATTGTATAAAAATAAAAGTAATTTTGTTGAAAAGCAGGGCGTGTAGTTTCTGCTGGCAATGCCGCTGTGCTCATCGCTTAAGTTGTTGTTGTTTATTTTTTTTAACCCCTCTAGACACACACACTTGCACTCAATTGAAGCCACACACTCATGAAATATTGCGAATTTTTGTTGCTATTTTCTCGTTGTAAATTATTAAAGTAACTCATTAATTTTATTATTGCTGATACAGAACCGCTGTAATTTAAACATATTTTTTTATGATAAAAAAAGTATTACTGGAAAAATTGTAAATGCACACCTTTTTAAACATTTAGTATTTAAGAATGTATTTTTGTTTTTCATTAGAGTGGTCACACCGAATCGCGCAATGTGGCAATATCGTTACCCCAAGCGACCGCTCTAATAGAACTGTAATTGACATTAGAAACTGTAGTTTTTTAATTTTGATACACTTGATTTTTAAAACGTAACTGTAAAAATTTATACGAAAATAAAATTGCAGTGATATTGTCTACAATAAATTGAAAGTCGCAAAAGCATATTCAAGATGCAATCGAGAGTACTAAGTCCGCACAACCATATTGAAATTAACCGGGAACGTCAAAGCGTCGTGCAAACCAATTTAAGCGGCGGACTTTATCAAACCAATCGCATAAAAGATATCAGTCCTACTTCGTCAAAAACATTAAAAGAAAATGAGCTGCAACTGAACAGCCTACCGACGACTGCAGCACAAAACGAGCAAGAAAATGTACTCCCGGCGAATAGAACTTCTGTCAATAAGATAACAAAGCGCCAGGGGCATTACTTGCAACGCTTTCTCGGGTGGAAGGAATGGAAGGAAGCTGAAAGGCAGAAGAAAAAAAAGGAAGAAAAGGAAGCGCAAACAGATTTAAATGCTGAAGTAGATGCGCAGAAAAAAAGACGCTCACTATATGTTTTGGATTCCAAACCAGAGATGACGGCTCCAATATCTTTGCAATTGCCGGCCGCTAAGAAACCCTTGGATTTTGCACCTATGCCCACAGCGACAAAACCTCCTATTACGTCTACATCTGCGGGTACTTCGAAGACTGTGGCAAGTGCTGTTAAGCTTCTAGCTACTGACAGAAATGCTAGAATAAAGCCACAAACAGCTGTACCGAATGGTTCGGCGAAGCCGCCATTAACTGCATCTGATAATCAAGCAGGGAATCTGAAGCAGACGGCGAAGTCTCTGCAAGCAGCCACTGAACCCATAATAAAAAAGGCACAAAAAGGGGTTGACCCAAAACAAAAGCCACCGACGACCCTTGGAGTTAAAAAAATGATGGTAGGGTCCGTTAAAAACGCATCAAGGTCGCCGAAATTGACAACAATCAGAAACAGGGCAAGAGGTGGTGCAGCCCAATGCAAAGCCACAGATAAAAATAGTCTTTCCTCGCAGCTCTCGCAACGCATGAAGTCCAAAAAGCCCGCGTTCCTAAACTGCAAGCAAAAACAAGCAATACTTACCAAACCAAACTTGCTACAAGAAACGTGCGATTTGCAGACCCCCAATACGTCACTTCATGTTGTCAGCAATAAGCATTTATTCAAGGCAATGGCGACATCTACTGAGCGCAAGTCCAATAAAAATAGCGATAATTTATTGGAGACCTACGGAGACATAACCAATATAAGTCCTGTGGCAGTTGGCGATAGGTCCAATGGGATAGTGTCTGTTGCTAAACGACAATTGTTGGCGTCGTCGCCGACACTGAAGGAGTCGGCAGTAGAGGGTAAGTGGGCTTTATGTCGATTTCAAAAATATTAATAATTGGTAATCATCACTTACTTATTTAATTAAAGAAGACATGAGAAAGTTGACGAAGACTCCGACACGCACTGATAAGCATCAAAAACGTCGCTCAATGAATGATGTTGAATCTAAAGCAGAGATGCCGGTTTGTAATTCAACGAAAAACAAAAAACTTCCAGATATTCCCAAGGTAACAACGGGTCCAATATCTATGCAAATGCCGGCTGCAAAAAAAACTTTGGATAATGCTGCTACTAGTGCAGTTAAGTCCAAAGCTAAGCACATACCTTTTCAAGTGGCCACAACGAAAAAACCTTCGTCTTTTGTTGCGTCCACTGCTGGAGTTAAATCAAAGCCTGCGGCAAAGTCAGTTAAGCCTTTCACTATTGGCCGAAATCTTCAAAATGTTGAAATGAAGCAACAATCGAGGTCACAGCAAGCATCTACTGAGCCTATGATAAAAAAGACACAAATAGAGGCCGAACCTAAACGACAGCCACCAACAACCCTAGCAGCTAAACAAAATATGGTGGGGTCTGCTAAAAACGCACCAAGGCCGCAAAATTTGATGACACAGCCATTCGAATTACCTGCAACAAGCAGAAACAGAGGAGGAGGTGGTGCAGCCCAATGCAAAACCAAATCCAAAAACAGTATTTCTTCACAGCTTTCGACACGCATGAAGTCCAAAAAGCCGGCGCTCCTGAACTGCAAGCAAAGACAAGCAATATTTACCAAGCTGAACCTGCTGCAAGCAAATTGCGATTTGCAGAGCCCCGATACGTCACTTTATATTGTCAGCAATAAACATTTATTAAAGGCAGCGGCGACATCTACTGAATGCAATTCCAATAAAAATAGCGACAATTTGTTGAAGACCCACGGAAAGACGACCAACATAAGTCCTGTGGCAGTAAGCAATGAGTCCAAAGAAACAGTGTCTGTTGCTGAAAGACTGTTGACAGGGTCACCGACACTAAAGGATTCGCAACAGACGTTGCCGGCAGTAGAGGGTAAGTGGGCTTTTTTCGATTTCATACATTTTAATAATGGCAATTATCGTACTTATATAATTTTAGCTGACGTGACGATGTTGGCGAAGTCCCCGATACGTACACAACCAAGACAATCAATTTACCTAAGTCCTTTTGTGACCGTGTCACGTGGAAAAGAGAGCACTCGAATGCAGCGTGACAATTCCAACAATACTCTCATACAGAGTCCAAGTGAGAAAAAACCAGAAACGCCCGTTGCTTTGCGTAGCACACTAAGCTCTGTACAATACTTCCGAATGCAACTGGATAATGAAATTAGGCGCCTCCATTCGCTTTGTGCTGAATGGCACTTATATAACAACCAAAATGAAGCGCGACTTTTGGAGAATGGGGCAAAGGACATGATAGATGCGGCTATTGGACAAACAAAGCTGCTTACCAGCAAGAAACTAATGCAGTTTAAGAGTCTAATTGATCGCTGTGAAGCAGGTGCTACCGGCATTGGTTTGCCTCCCAATGATGGCAGTGAGGCTTCTAAACCTGTGTTCGTCGAAGATTTAGAGGGTTGGTGGGATATGTTGCGTTTACAGAGCGAAAATGTAGACAAACGGTTTGATCGTTTGCTGCACCTGAAAGCCAACGATTGGCAGGATCCAGATGCGGAGGCAGTGCCCAAAACCAAGTCAAAAGTGGGTCTTAAAACAAAACGGAAACAAACCGCTAAACCAAGCAGCGAATTAAAAAGCTTTTTGCGAAAGGCTTATGCAGCCAAGCGAATAAATCAGGTATCTGGCGAAATCAGCGAGAAAAGCAGCCAGCCAAACGTTACTCCGAAGCGTCAGTCTCAGCATCGTTTTATTGTGGTTCGCGACCGCAAATCCTTCTCGCCGGCACGAACCGTGCTTCGTGTATCACGTGACACCGATAATCGTCCATCTATTGGTGGTAATAGTTTATTGAAATCTGCGATTATGGGCGCAGCGGAGCAAGTATCTCGTCAGCAGTTGACGCCACGTTCTGAGCAGCCCATGTCCATTTTAAAAACGCCTGGAACCAAAAAACGTGAGCCTGGTGCCCACGGTGTTATATTTAGCGCCAAGAAAAAAGTGCGTCGTTTTCAGTTCACCTTCGACGAAGGCAATATAAGTGGAGAAGAGGTTGTCATTGGCAACAAGACGGAAGACTGTGAAGAGGACATGACCCCAGAAAGACCCTCGCTTCAAAACGGTCAGCTAGAGAATTCCGTAAATGCAGCAACTGAGGAAGGAGATGGGAATGCGTCAAGGGCATATTCACTTCGCAATCGTATTATTAGATTAAGACCATCATCGGAGTTTATGTAGAATTTCAAATGGTCGAACTATTTTTTTTAAATTGTTTCTAAAAACTTTATTCTTATGTTTTGAAATTGTTTTTGCGCCCATCATCTAGAATTCTAAAATGGTAGTTTATTGTATTTTAGTGTTAATTATGTTTGAATAGTCTTAAATGTATTTACTCAATTTATTAATAAAATATAAAAAAAAAGAATCTAACTTAATATCCATCGGCTTTACTATATAAGCTCACCCTAAATAATAAGAGACTGTTTTAATCAAGGATATCAGACTCTTAGATACAAACTTTAGAGTTTCCGCAACGTTCGCAGATTCGAAGGCGCGTTGGAGAATTGCAAACCGTAAAGGAAGATCCTCGGAGTAAAACGTTAACATACAAGTTCTATGCAAGTTTAAATAATTGAAATTACTGCTTTATTGAATTTAAATTTATTTACATACACGATATATTGGGTGTTATTTGCATAAAGCGTTTAAAAACGATACCATAAGATAGAGTTGTTCTTATATTTGCTACTGCTATTGTAAATGCTATTTACATGCAATTGCATAAAGTTAATAATTTATTTGCACTTTACACTTTAAGGTCAACTTTTGAAAAGCTTATTTAAGAGACATTAAAAATGGAAAAAATAAACAGGTCAGATCGCTTTGAACTTAAAAAATAATATAGTATGTGCATCAAGACTGAAAATTGAGAAGCTTTAAAATGTAATATAAATAGATTTCAAGCTCTATTTTTAAGCCATCGTCTTGGTATCGTCCATATGAAATGTATCGTTCTTCTCCTTGGCAAAGGTAATAATTTGGTTTAAGCTTTCGCCCAACTCCTCCATTACCTCACGTTCCGTATCCTCTATTGGTAAATTTTGCTTTTCATGCATAACAATCCGCGATATCATACACATTATAGTCGCTTCTATCACATCGTCTGTTAGATAGACATTCGAGCGGTTGTCCTGTAGATATGTTCCGTTTAGTTCTTTCATTTTATTTGATGGTAATTTCACATCAGCCAGGCTGTCCATAGAGTCCATATCAACATCGGGACGATCCTCCATATTACGACATCCTTGAAATTTTAAACAAAATTAGCTTATATATTTATATCCTTGTCGAGTACTTTAATTTTGTTATGAAATGTGTAGTACATGTTGGCTTAGCCTTATAGATTGTCACATACGTACCTACGCATTTACACATGGCAGAGCAGGGTATTTTGGCTTCATAGCATTCGCAGTAGTTTTTTAGACACCCAGACCGTTTGCAATTGCAGCCCTTGTTGTGTAATCGCATGTCACCGGAATTGGGTGCCGTAATTTTGGGTCTGTTTGCGAGAGAATAATGAGGAATATAACATTTTGCTTTTTTTTATATTTTTCTTAGTTACTTACTTGAATGCACTGGGATTCCGCTCCAAGCAGCTTCGTATGGCTCGCTCTCGCTTGACCTCATAATCCAGGTTGTTGAAGCAATCCTTACAGGTGCAATCCTGACAAAATTCACCATTGGCAAAGCAGTCACAGTAAAGTTTCAAGCATTGAGATTTGCTACAGTTGCAATGTTTTCTTCGGGATCCGCCTAGTGCATCAAGTGCTGCAGCTGCTGCTGCAGGAGCCGGTGTTGGCGGCGGCTTTAGTATATCAAATAGTGGCTTGGCCGGCACAGTTGATTTATTATCCTGCGTTGATTTAGACTTTACTATTTGCTGCTGCTGTTGTTGTTGTTGTTTTGCTTGGTTAGACAGCTGCTGTTTCTGTAGGTGTTGTTGTCGCAACTTGGCCTGCGCAACAATCTGTCTCTGCTGCTGCAGTTTCATTTGCTTGAAGCGCATCTGCTGCTGAGTAAGCGTCACAGGACGACGCAGCTTTGATTCGGCAAGCGTATAGCCACGTCGCATTGTGGTGTTGAAGACTGTGCGTGGTTTTCCCTCGCCTCCCTTGTTACAGATCATATACTTGACGCCATTGGCGTCGCTTTTTGTCACCAGATTGTAGACCTTTCGTCCTTGGTCTGCAACCTTGGCGCCCTGCACCGTAACACGTTGCATTTGTGGTGGCCGCGTTCCTGTCAACTTCTGCATATGTTTTTGGGACGCTGGCGTTGTTGTCGTTGACGTCGTAGCTGATGCCGTCGAAGTGTGGGGCATGGCAATAACATACCGTGCCTTTTTTGCGTCCGGTCCTCCAGTTTCGCCAGTGCTATCGTTTGTCAAATGCTTTATTTGCAAATTTATATCGGATAGGCGATGCTTGCGTGTGGCCTCCAAATTATTGCTGTTGTTTGGGGTCTTAGCGTGTACTGAGTTAGAAGTCGCGCCAGGTGCTCGCTGTAATTCAATTTTAAAATGTCAAAAAACTGTAGAAAATAGTTTATGCACTCCGTTGAAAAAAAAAGTATAATTTATATTTCTAGATTTTTGTGAAGGTTTATCAGCATATATATAATATATATATTTTATATATACATATTATATTATTAGAATTGGTGCAACTACTTAGTTGGGAAAGCAAATATTACAAATAGTAAAAATCAAAGTATCCGGTTGGACTCTACTCACCCTGGGCACCAAAGTTTGCATGGACGGTAGCGGCACGATGCTACCTCCCATTGTTTTCATAACTATTTTGCTGGTGTTGCTGACAGATACAGTTGAGTTGTTGTTGCTGTTGCTGCTCGTGCGTGGACGCCCGAGTGATACCTTCTGTGGACTAGTTGTCGGCTCAGTGTTATTGTTGGGTAAAACGCGCACATACTGCACACCGCTTTTTCCTGATAATTGAATGGCATGCAGACCGCTAGGCGTGGTATTGGTATTTGTATTGGTCGTTGCATTTCCGGATGGCTTCGGCGATAGCTTAATAATGTTTTTACTGGCCACAACAATTTGTTTGCCCGTAGAGCTTTGAACCAGCATTTTACCGGATGGCATTGTTGCCCCTGTTGTTACTGATGCTGTGCTGCTACTGGTGTTAACGCTGCTAGTTGCAATACTGCCGCTGCCTGTATTGTTGTTGACAGGCTTAAGTGATGAGCCTGCCGGTAGCTGCTTCAGCGGTCCCTTTATGATCACTTGCGTAGAAGGCTTGTTTATTAGCCTACTGCTACTGTTGCTTAAAACAGCCGTTGGTATTGCTGGTGCAGTACTAGCTGAAGCTCTTACAGCCAACGGTGTTGACTTGGAATTAAGAAGCACAGAGGGAGCTCCTTGATTTAGCTTAATTATTTTACCTTCGGCGGTGCGCACCACTTGTATTGGCATCTTAGAAGACCCTGCCACAGATGCAGGTTCAGCTGATGATGGACTTTTTACCAAACCCGATGTTTGTGAAGTTGTTATTGTTGTTAAGGGATTTGATAATGTTGCTGGTGTTGTTTTAGTCGCTCCTATGGCCGTTAAGCCTCTGACTGTTATTGACGAGCTCGGCGCGGTGCTCTTGATTGGGACTGTGCCACTTAGAGTAACACCTTTAGAAATAATAGATTGGCTCACCAAGCGAGATGTGGCATTCACTGGCAACTTTGCCGTGCTTCCCCCTGATACGGGCAATGACTTATGTAGATAAAGCACTTTGCCATCAGCTGTTTTAATTTGCGTCATAGTGACACCGCCTATATTTTTGGGCATCTGGGTTGTTAGCGGTGGGATTGAGCCTGATGGTGCTGCTATTGTGGTGCTCCCGATTTTAACAGCCGCGTTGCCAAAAGCATTTAAGGGCTTCGTCTGCAGCTTGTTTAGGATTTTAACGTCCATCGTTTGCGTCGTTTTTGTTGGAGCTGTTACTACCCTAACAGAACCACCTAGCATATTTTTTAAGGCTGTGCCCATAGGCGCTGTCAGGCGTTTGTTCTCCAGTATTCGCACAATTGGAGTCTTCTTTGGCCCCGGATTATTCAACAGTTCGCCTGATGAGGTTGACGCCAATTTTTTTCCAGCGTACTGGTCTTCGCTATCTTTGTCGCCATTACCACTATTACCAGCAACATCCATGTTTTGCTCTTTAGACGTTGCTGGCGACTCCAGCAAATCATATAGGGTAAGTTCAGGCAATGGCGTGGTATCCCCTAGTTCGTCTGTGGATGATAAGCAAATTAACATGATACTACTTAACTTTATAATAAACAATCAATATTCAAATGTACCCGAAAGGTCAGACAAACGGTTAGCAAACATATTTGCAGACAATCAACTTTTTTCAATTCAATTTCAAAAACTTCTATCACGAACATCAGCTGCGTAGCGGTTGGAACACCGTATTGACCAACACTGGTCGCGCTGACACCAGTGCTGCTAACTGCTATTATCGATAGTCGATTTGCGAAAAAATTAATTGGTTTGATCTTCAAAATTTCCCAAACTATTCACTCAGTAGACATAAGCTTGTGGCTAGAAATTATATAAACCTAAGCAGAGCTTACCATAATTCTAAGGGTGTTGAGCATAAATTCCGATGTTACAGTTGCATAAATAAGACAACAAACCATTGACTGAAATTACTTGCAAGTCCATATTGTTTGGTGTAGGTGGAAGTTTATAATTTTTCGTTTTATTAATTGTTGACCTATGATTTTAAATATTAAACGCATCAAAACAACTAACTCAATATGTATAAAATGTTATTAAATTAAAAATATGTTTATTTATTTACGACTGACTTTTAGAATAAGCTTCTGATGAATACAAGGTTATTACTTTTTGGCAGCGACCTTTTTCTCACGCGCCTTTTTACCCTCCGTTAGCTCAGAACGCTGAGTTTCTGTCAGTGCAGGCATTACATTGGTTACAACGCCTGTGCCTAAGGTTAGATTGCCATCACGAAGCGTAAAACGCTGACCTTGTTCCAATACCATGGGACGTATCAGACGCAATATTAGTTTTGTATCCTCGCCAGGCATAACCATCTCCTTGTCCGGTATTTGCACCTGAACAGCACAATCCCAAGTGCGAGAAAACATCTGTAGCTGAATGAACGACATAAAGGGCTTGGTGCGACCACCCTCCTCCTTGGACAGTATATAAACTTGCGCTTCCAACTGATCTAGTGCTTTGACGCTGCCGGGCTTGCACATGACCATTCCACGTTTGATATCATCACGCTTTACGCCACGCACTAAAGCACCCAGCTGATCGCCAGCTTGCGCCTCCTCAAGAATCTGATGAAACATCTCTACGCCAGTGACCGTGGACTTTAGCACCTTGTTGTAACCCACAAATTCGCATTCCATTCCCTTCTTGACCACACCGCGCTCTAGACGTCCCGTAACAACAGTACCGCGACCAGGAATAGAATACACGTTTTCCACAGGCAACAGGAATGGTTTGTCCAACTCGCGCACTGGTGTCGGAATAAAACTATCTACTTCTGCAAGCAATTTAAGTATGGCCTCGGAACCGATTTCGGGATTCTTGTCCTCCAGAGCGCACAATGCTGAACCCTTTACTACAGGAATTTTATCGCCATCGTAGCCCATTTCAGTCAGCAGTTCACGTATTTCCATTTCGACAAGATCTACCATTTCCTGGTCGGCGGCATCGACTTTGTTAATAAACACCACAATATGATCAATGCCAATTTGTTTGGCAAGCAACATATGCTCCCGGGTCTGAGGCATAGCACCATCTGTAGCTGCCACTACCAAAATAGCGCCATCCATTTGTGCGGTGCCTGTTATCATGTTTTTAATGTAATCAGCGTGACCGGGACAATCTGTGTGACCGTAGTGACGGCTCTCCGTCTGGTACTCAACGTGCGCCACATTGATGGTAATTCCACGGGCTTTCTCTTCTGGTGCATTGTCAATCTCATTGTATTTCTTGCTCTCCGCCAGTTTCTTATCAGCTAGTACTTTCGTTATAGCCGCCGTCAGTGTAGTCTTGCCATGATCCACATGGCCGATGGTGCCAACATTACAATGGGGCTTAGTGCGCTCAAACACCTTTTTTTCATTTGCGTACTCGCGCACATATTGTTGCAGATTGCCCGTAGTAGTAGGGGGACAATTGCCAGCCTGGAAACTCTTGGTAAATGCTGTACTAGTGGCAAGACGTGGGCGTGCCACACTGCGTAGCAATCTCGCCGTGGACAAGGCACGCCGGCTGCAGCGTAATGTAACTCCGGTCCGGCAGACGGCAAACGCAAATGCTTGCGACATTATTTTCGTTATACTTTGGGATTGCCTATTATATTTTAATTTCAAATTACTTTATTGGCGGATCATGTAACTCATAACTATTAAATTACTTACAACGAATATGAACGGCTATGTAGCTTTTTCAATTTTAATAACTGGGAAGAATTGAAGAAAATTGCGTAAACCTTAAAATGTGCTGCTCAGCGGCGCTGCCAGATCGGGTCATTTAAGTGTTGCCACTCAAAAACGTAACAGCAGTAAGGTTGTGCGGGGTGGCAAGTTTGTTTAAATTATTTCAGTAATTTATGAGTGCCTAAATTTTTATACAAAATTTAATGACATGTCTACGCGCACTCTAAGCCAACGTTTCCCGTCGTAATATAAAATGAAACAAATCGGAAGCGTAAATATTAATTGTTTGCAATGGTCGAATTGCAAGCAAATCTCCCCACAGACTGTACCTGTATCGGCAGAAACACACACTAGCACATGCCTCAGAGTTGCCAGATTACAGATGGGGTATTTTGGGATGTTTCACTTTGTTAAAAAGCACTATTCACTGTATTTAAACAAATTGTTTGCTATTGCGACCCAATATGTAACTTATATTATTCAACATTGGTGGCCAAATATGTTGAAACTAATGGAAACCTACGACTGCGTATATGGCGTGCGGCCGCAGCATTTCTTTAGCTCAACAATTTGCGCGCCAGCATACGTATGTATATAGGCCGTCTGTCCAACTGACATACACGCGCTGTAGCGTACCGACCGTAGGAGGTTGGAAATTCAATTTAAAATATGACAAATTCTTTTAAGGGGACTCAGCCACTTACCCACTCCGGCGCTTGCAGTGGTATCCATTACTCTTTTGCTGTTCCTTTGTAAAGTATCAGTTGGTTTTTGTGTTTTGATTGTGTGTGCGCGCACAACTCAAAACAAAAAAAGGAAAATCTTATGGCTGCTTTTTTGTCTGCACGAACAGCAGTTATGGCAGTAAGTTTTATACCGTTGAACTGCGAGCACTGCGCATTTACAAAAATTAATCAAATTCACTTTGTCTACAGCTTCACTTAATATCCACAAGTTCTGTTGGCACTTTTAATACCTTCCGAAAAAGTATTCAAAATTCAATTTAAATGACAAAATTTACAACTGCATGTTGGCGATGAGGTTACAGTTGTTTATCTGTAGCCCATACACACGGTTGTACAGCGACACAACATAACATTTTGATCCACTGTTAGTTAACAGCGATAGAATAATATTCAGGAAAAATATTAATTGCTACTAAATAACTTGCTTATGCATTTTTTTTTTTGTTTATTTTAATAATTATAATTTGTTTTAGCTATATATGTTTGGGAAAATGCGAATAATCGTGAATAGCTCCATTGTTATGTGACCACATATCCCTAACAACACCATTTGAGTACAACAGTGTATTTTATGAACTAAAAGTTCGATTACCACATATAAAATTGAACTGAATGTCTGTCACCTCGTTTATTTAAACAGATTGAATGAGGCTGAAAAACACAACTGAACAAATGGTCGATTTGAAGACAATATAAATACAATTATTGTATTTGTTCCAATAATCAATGTAATGGATTCAGTTGCTCGCCAAAGAACCGATTACTTGTCGATAGGCTTACAGATGTTAAACTCCACAGTTATTTATGTATGTGATCGGCTAAAAATCAAAATTCGTTTTAAGTCTGAATGCTCAATGTACACTACCATAACGATGTTAAGACATGCTTTATTATACATTTCCACCTGCAACATTTACCACTCTCATCATTTTTTCAAATCTCAAAGGGCTCAATGTGGATTACGTCAGCTTTGAATTAGCATGAACCGTCGATATATATTAAAAAGGTGGTTGCAAAATGATCCCTCCATAATTCAGAGTACACTTAGAGTTTACTGATTAAGTTTATTTTCAAGATTTGTTTTGTGTTCGGGTCTAGCTTTTTATTCACCAACAACTTTAGTTACATATGTGTATGTGTTTCGTGTATTTATTTTGTTGTAAGAGTACATCGAACCAGTTTGTTAAACTTAACTCCTTTTGAATTACGTTATCTGATTACAATTAAATACATAGATAAACTTTTGTCAACTGACTATTACGGATTGTATAATATAGTTTTGATTTTCTTGTATGATAACATAATATATGTAGTTAGCTGTGTATTTTATTTCTACATTCCAATACTTTTACAAATGCTTTTCAAAAAACTTAACGCAACACTTGACATATATATATTCACATGATTACACATGGTATTTATTGTTGTTTTATTTCTTATTATATAGATAAAGCAGGTTTTTAAATTCTTAGTGTACTTTATAAATATAGCATTATAATTTTATATGTGTAGTAAGTATAGTATTGCTTTTTTTTTTTTTTTTTTTGACTAGTATGCTCGCACTAAGCTATACAAATTTGGAATGTTTTTAGCGGTATTTTAGTATTTTAGTATTTTAGATAGATAGAGTATATGTATATGCGTTTAGTGTTTTATTAAATTTTGACATCAATTTGTGTAGTAGTAATAAATACATTGAGCTTAGTATGCCTTAGAACTGTGCACAAAACTTTTGATATTATATTATAGATTGTTTGACCCCATACCAGCTTTTTTTTGTGTAATGCAATATCTATAATATTATTGAACGATAACTGATTTATATTTATATAGTATAGTGTATATGTTCATGGTTATACTATATTGTCTAATTCACAAGTATATTTAGATTCATGTTGATAAGCAGGCTTTAAGCAACAAATAAAAGTGAACAAAACCTTTTCATCATAAAGTTAAAGTATTTTTTGTTTAAGGAGAACATCTGTTTTTACCCTGCACAATGCTTTTGTACTACATTATTTAATAAGTGTATTGGGGAATTCGTAATGATTTTTTATAGTGCATGATTGCATTTTGCAATTCTTTACAAGCCTTTCAAGATACAACACATAATCTAAGCGTACATTAATATTTATGTAAATTAAGATAGGTAGCTGTATTCAATATATTTTCTTCATTATTATTATTGGTTTATGATTATCATATTAGAGCAATGAAATAACGATGATAATCAGCAAGTATTTCAGCTTTGCTTATGTACATCTGTTCATATAACCTCATTGTATACGATTAACTAATGAATGCTTCCTTTCAAAATCTTTTCCACTGCTGCTCAGTTATTATTAGAACTGCAGGCTACGAGACTTAAGTGTTCTATGCGCGTAAAAATTGTATTACTCTGCCCAATGTATGGCAATCTGCATGATGCAAAAATTTGGATTTTACGTAGCCGTTCGGGGCTTACAACGCTTGGAGAAACTTGCAGCCATTCAAGTAACTCGCGGAAGTATCCGAGGGACCCAATTGATCTGTTTTACTAATGAAAAAGTGATGTTACTATTTGTACGCGCATATGTTTTAAGAATAATACTTTCAAATGTAAAGAATACCTAATATTGTAAGACTTAGGTGTAGTTCCCTCATTGCGTCAGATATATTGTAAGTGTAGCTACATAGTTATTAATATAAATATATGTATGTTATTTATGTTTATTTAAAGACAGTTACATAAACATTTTGAAAATCAATTATATATACTTTGAATACATTTAATATGATTTATTTTGTTTTAAATTGATTTGCTTAAGGAAGGCTGGTTTTGGACAACCGAATTGCTGCACAAATGCTTCGTCCTATTGCTGATAGAGTTTTAATGTGCGCCCCAAAGGCCGAACTTTGAAGTAGATGATGATATCAAATCCAAAATGATTGGTTCTCCGTGTAAACAAAGTCGTCGTTGACAAAATTTTCTTTTTTGGCATGAACAATATTTTTGAAAAAAAAAAATCTAGATGATTGCGCAATATTTTGCAAAACTTTGGCCAAAGTCCTTAAAAAGCACAAAATTTATTGCATAAAATGAATCGCGGTCATTGTAAGTATATTTGACAATTGATATTTTTGAAATGAGCCAATTTTCAAGGCCTTCTTATCGACAGATGCTACCAGTAGCATTTATACACGCCGCCAGTCTACGGATGTCTTCTACAACGATCCGTTCAAAATTCAATCGTACAACTTTCGTTACGCTGAACGACCCGTCTATCAGGTTCAGCATTATCAACGACCCCAGCCGCCGCAGCCGAAGCCTCCAACCTTCGAGACCTATTACCAGAATCCAAGGTTCATCACCAGGTATCAAGAAGCCAAGGCTGCTGCTCCGGCGACGAGTACCTTTGCTGAGCACAGACGTCGCAGGTATTTGCATGATTTCAAGTGCATATCCTCGTTGCCAACCAAAGCTAATAGCGTCCACGTGGTGTCCACTGAGCCGCGAAAGCCGGATATAGTATCGGTGCCTCGTCGCCAGCTCTTTAGCAGTCCGCCCGATGCGGTCTCTCACTTCCCACTGTTGCGCACCTGCTGCAATCGAGATGAGTATCAGACGATGCGGCGTGGCCAGAGCTTTACCACAATCAGGCAAAGCACCGCTAACTCAAACGTAGCTCGCAGAGCTGGCAAAAGTGCCTCCGTTAGCTCTTTAAGGGAGCCGGAAAAAAATTACTCTACGTGCACTTTTAAGGTGGAGCCGAGGCGCAGCGCCAGCAATTGCAGCGGTTGTGCGATCAACATTAACATAAATGGACTCGACTCTGAGGCAGAGCTGGACAAGAGTTTGCGAATTAAGATTGAAACGGATTCCTGCCTTCACAACAATACGGACAATTATAAGGTACATAAATCTACGGCGCGCATTGGCAGCTCCGAAAGTTTTGTCATTGACAAGCGTCTGTCCAAGTTTAGCTTACCCGAAGCCCAGGTCCAGACTAATTCGAGGCGCATGGGTAGCTGTGAACAAGATCTTTTGATAGCCAAACGGCTGCAGGTGCAACTGGAGCGAAAGCGTATGGAACAGGTGTGTCAGCAAGAGCTGCAAAAAGAACAAGAGCGTATGCGGCTGCGTGATCAGGAACGCGAGCGCATGAGGCAGCTGGAAAGACAGCGCGATCACGACAGGCTGATGGAGATAGAGGCGGAGCGGGAAAGGCAGAGGCTTCGTGGGCTAGAGCGGGAGGCTCAGCGCAAAAGAGAGTACGAACGTATACGTTGCTACCAGGAGCAGTTGCGGCAGGATAGACAACTGCGTCTGCCAATGCGTGCCACGTCTCTGCCCACGTCAGTTGCATCACCTGTAATTATGACATCACATCTCTACAGGCCAGCTTCGACTGATCGTCTGCCAGGCATGGTGCCCTGCTATGTCCATCAGTCCGCAGCTAGTTCCAGCACGCCGACGGCACGAGCCGAGCGGTTGCAAAATTGCACTCGGAATCTGACAACGTTGCGTTGCCTTAAGCGGCAAACAAGTCCACTGCCGGAGCGGCCGCAGTATGAGGCACCGCCAGCTAGAACACTGGAACGCCGCAGCTCGGGAAGCTCGAATTTCAATGCCTGTGTGCTCGGGAGTGGCAGCAACGTCAGTATACGACGTCTGTCCGCTACTCGCCTGAATGAGCGTAAATTACTTAATCTTCACGTGAACGGCATGCCCGTCAGCTCCAGTCAGCCCATACACACGCGCATCAACAACATGCCCATACGCATTACCACATCGCAACCCGTAGGTGAGGATACGGAGTTCTCGCTGAATAAGGTGCGGGTGCGCAATGCCTCGCCCGCCGCATGTCCAGTTCACGAGAGGAGGCGCAGCTGCGGCAGCCATGGTTCCCGCAATGAGGAGTCGGTTGCCATGCCCTATAATGTCAACATCAATGTCTATGCGGATAACTTGCGCACGATGCGTTTATAAATTGGAAAACCAAATATTTGCGGCTGATATAACGTCAGGATAACTGTCATGCATGGCTATATATAGCTACATTTTTCAGTTATTTGTACGCTGTACCAGCCACAAATATTTTTATACATTTTTTGGATTCGTGCTCAATATTGCGTCTGCCGTCTTATGTCAATTTCAAACATTTCGCGTCCTATTCGCTAGTATTATTTTAATATAACATACATTTACTTTAAATACAAATTCGTTCTAGTCAACTAGTTTTTGGAATTCACAGTAAATCAATGCAATTCCGGACGCTGACACTTGTCACATTGTACACGCAAATACCTTCCTTTCTGGGAGTAAAATGTACATATATATATATATATATATATATATGTATATATATATGTGATACGCTTGTTTTGGGGACAGACAAAAGGTGGGACTTTCGCTATGTTTTTCTATTAATAAGCCCCCAAATAATCATCTCTCTGAGAATGGGGCATTTTGGAGCTTTCTGTTAAAAAATATGTGCCTTTGGTCATAGAGAGATTTATTTGGGGACACGATATGTAAAGATTATTTCTGGGACCGAGTCTTCAAAACTGACTTTAAATACTTTGCCAAAATATTATATATAATCATAATCCATTAGAAAGCTTATTTTGGGGACAAAAATTTAGAGTTGCCACCTGGTCCAAAGTCTTATTGGCTAAAGCTATTTTTAGGGACAGGGAACGGTGGAATGAATTGGATGAGTAACGATTATTTCGGGAACACTATATGAGACGTCCTTATTGGGGACAATGTCCCTCAAATAACTCTAGCGCATATTACCGAATATACAAACATTTTAATATGGAATTAGAACACGGAAACTTTTACTTACTCCCATTTGAGTAAGTATTTGAGATTTTTATTTTTTGTTTACCGCCAACCCATTAAAAATGTATGAAAGTGGTATAACGAAGTTTTGCTTATTTAGCAGTGTAAAATAAATTTAATCTATATCTATTATTAACGAAATAGTGTCGATTTAGACACGCCCGTCACTCCATTTGTCTGTCGGATCAATATTAAACGAAATTATTGATCATCATAAACTTGTATGAAAAGTAAACATGCATATTTTATATATTTTGTTATAAGATTATTTTATTTTATTTTTATTGTTTTAAAACATTACAAAGATTTTTTCCTCCCCTCCGCTTTTCTCTGGTTGTCCAGAAAAGTCTTTAGTTGAGCTGAAGTGCGGCCGCGAAAACATGGATTCTCATTTATTATTTGGGAACATTTTTTAAGCGATGGCAACTTTTCCAATGTTTCTAAATTCCCAAATATGTTTTCCAGTTGCTTGCGTTCGCCTGGGCCCCATCGTACACGGCGCGTTTTTCCAAACGGTGACGCTGCAATAAAAAAGTTTATTTATATAAGTAAATGAATAAGTTTTGATTTGTCATGCCGTTAGTAATTGATCTGTTAGAGATTGAGCTCCATAAAAGTGAAGGACATGAGCTTTAACCGTGGGACTCTTTGTATTGTTATATTAAGTATTATACTGAAATTGATTACTTGTTGGCTATTCCGTAATACTTACTGCTTCGACGTTTTACCATTCTTTTGGGAGGCGAATAATTTGCGTCATCTGACGTACATACAAACTCCGGCGGCTCTTCATCATTTGATTCATTTGAGCTTTCTGAATTATTAATTTCAGCTGTAAGAAAAAGTACGTTAAAGCATATATAATTTTTTTAAATATTTTGTTTGTTTGCTTGAGGTCCGGGTTTGTTTAAATAAACAGTTGAAAAAAATTTAACTTAATATATTGCTTGCAATAAAATTAGCAAAATATTAAATTAAATAGTTTTGAACTTCGGACTAGCCATACCAACAAAATATTTTAATTATTTTAAACCATCACTAATTTCTTAAATAGTGAAAGTATCTTCGATTGTATCGAAGTTTCGATTCTTGCAAAAATTCTTTTGAAGTATTCTTCTATAGCATTGCAGCTAGGACTAAATAAATTAACTCACTGTCGGGATTAGCTTCTACAATTTCAGCATTTTCCTCTTCCATGTTCATTGCTGACATAAGTAATTGCGAAACTTGGGTCATCTCTGCTACAGAGGCAGGAACACGATAGTAATTTTTATGGATGTCTTTATGGTGACCCATAAAGCTCGCCAAATAATCAATTTGAATGTCCTTAACATTAGATAAAGAGGTATGTGTGGCCAATTGCTTTCGCAGGTTTGTGCCTCTAAGGGATTCAGGGCAACGTGCACCACATTCATTTGCGAATTTTTCTAGTATTGGACACGCACGAATATATTCTTTTCTTAGTGGCCGCGGGTTTGGCACACTAAAGATATATGTAGTTGGTTTATTTATTGTGCGTTTTCCATATTCCAGAATATTGTCTATGCAATAACGATCCCATGGTGTAAAAAGAACTGGAACTGTACGGTTTTTTTTGCCACGAATAATCACCCTGGTGAAATTTTGAGAAATGTTTCTCATTTTGGCAGACATGTCTTTATACAGATTAGAATTAGCTCTATCGTCGATGTCCCCAATAGAATGAGCAGTTCTGTAACTCTCAAGAGTAAGCCTTTCCAGTTCGCCAACTCTGCGCCGATTGAAAATAAGCAAACTGATCAAAGTGCTCTGCTTTAACGAGGTTAATGACAAAACGTTGAATTTGCTGTTTAGCTCATTCAA